ACTTTTGAAGTTGATGGACCTAATTGAAACACTCATACAAGTTTATGCACCTCTGATGCATTTAACTCTTTTATCAAAATGCGCCTAACCCCCTTCATAAATTTTGCAATTATATATATTATATAATTCATTATACAATGTTTGTGTTAATTGACTTAAAATCAACAAGGTTGGTCCTTGAGTTTTGAATCTTCGGTGGTTCTATGGTCAAATGGAAGTTTTTTCGGAAACGTCCCGTCCGGGCGCGGCTCCTGCGCAGCAGACCAACCTCTCAGGAAAAAAAATTCCACTCCGCTCATCCACCCACCGCGGCGTGGATGAGCATTTCCAGGCTGCTCATTTGTTCGTCCCGCCACACCCCCTTCCCCACCGCGTCACGTCCCTGCCATGGCGTCGCGCCGTGCCCTTCCTCCTACCGCGCCACACCCTATCATCAGCTGCGCCGTGCCCCATCCCCTACGAGCGAATGGTGCTACATGACTACGGTCGAGTGAGCAGAGACGCTGGAGTAGCAGCAATAGGGCCGTGCTGACAGGCACGAGCCTAGGCCACGAGCAGGCATTGGAGAATTTTAGGAGGGCCACGCCACTACTGCATCGGCAAGCTCCATGCGCCGCCACCGACCTCCACGCCGGCGTCGAGCTCCGCAACGACGAACATCTATTCGCCCAAGCAGCAAGGTGACATTGCGCTGAATGTGCATGTTGCAAGCATATGTTTTAAGTGTTTCAGATGTTTCATAGATATGTTGCATGTGTTTCATGCGGATGTTGCAATAGACGGGGATGTTGCATGTGTTGCAATAGTTGTACACGTATATTGCAAGCTTTTGTTTCCAATGTTTCATCTGTTTTTTCTAGACGTATATTGCAAGTATGTCTGTTTGGATGTTGCATATGTTTCACACATATATTGCAAGTGTTTTATCTACAGCGTATGTTTTACAATTGTTTTCAAGTGTTTTTCAAGTGCTTCAGATACATCCTTCAAGTGTCTCATCTATCTTCAGACGTAGGTTTCAAATGTTACATCTGTATGTTTCAAAAGTAGATGGGGTGTTGCATCTTCCTCCTCGCTTTCTGCTGCCTCGCCTCGGTGTCTCCTCCTCCCGGCGCCGGCTATACATCTGCCGCCCCCTCCCTCTCTTCTCGATGCTAGTGACGTTCGAAGCGATGTGGGCCCAACATGGGCGCGCGAAATGGCTACAGGCGTAGGCGTTCAGATGCTCCGTCCATCCGGACATCCAGACCCTAGCAAGCCCTATGTTTTTTAATAAAGATGCTCGAAAGAGCGTATGATCTTAAATCAATATGCTAGATAAAAAAGAATTAATTTCTTTCTTCTAAATTATAAGAGTGAAAGGGAGTAGTGAACAAGTAAATATCCAAGAAAACAATGGCTTGTACTCCCTCGGTTCCAAATTATAAATCGCTTCGACTTTTTTGGTATATCCATTTTGCTATGCATTTAGACAAATACATACCAAAATAGATGTACTAGATGCATAGCAAAATAGATGTACCAAAAAATCAAAGCGAATTATAATTTGGAACGGAGAGAGTACAAAAAATAAACATTTTGACATAAAATAACCTCTAAAAATAATAGTACATCAAAAAACAGTTTGGCCATCTTCGTCCACAGCCTCCCCGAGCTTCAAAAATCACACTAAAAAGACACTAAGCCCTTGCCATACAAGGTCTTGAACACCACAAAAACCACACACCACTTGCAACGAGATGAACTACGCACTGAAGGAACATTGTGTCAGCAGTAGGCAGGAAATAAAAGCAATTTGGGAAAGGATCAGACGAACAGCACAGAAATCAGGCGAGAAGGAGAGGCAGGAAGGAGGAGTGCTTAGAGTTTAGAGTCTGTTACAAGATTCATCATAATCCTCTCTCTCGCTCACAGCGTCTCTTTTACACGGCTTCCGCCCGAAGGTGCTCGCAGGCACAATCACAGTCATTCCGCACCAGCCAGACGCACGTTGGGCCGACGAACGTGTTTTCCAGTCTGAAGCCCCTGGGCCGCCTCTTCTGAAGTATCTGCTGTAGATGGGCCGCTAACACCCCCGGTCCTTGGAAGCCTGCTTGTCCCCAAGCAGGAGCTCTGGGAAAATCTTGATGCAGCTACAGCAAATTCTCCCAGGTTGCCATTTCCGACGACCAACCATACCAGAGGATGAGGCCTTGCTCCACCGAACCATTAGCAGTAGGCATGATCCGACGCTACAAAACTTCCATAAGAACCCAAGGCAACTCAATGTTAGCGGGTAAAGATGGAGATACCTGGACCTGAGGGAGAACCGCAGTTTTCAATTAGGAAACATGAAACACCGGATGGATAGCAGTTGAACTGGGCAAAAGCAACTTATAAGCCACCTGACCAATGCGCTCCATGATTTGGAATGGACCATAGAACTTGAAGGACAACTTCTGATTAGATCGAGGGGCCAGCGAAGACTGAACATAAGGTTGCAGCTTAAGAAACACCATATCACCCACACTGAATTGACGTTCAGATCGCTTCTTGTCAGCTTGACGTTTCATACGGTGTTTGGCTCGGGCTAAGTGCTGACGGATCAAATCAGTCATGACTTGATGATCTTGAAGCCAAGAAGACAGTTCAGGTACAACCATATCATCTAGGACAGAAATTCCAAAATGGCGAGGTGGGTAGCCATAAAGAGCTTCAAAAGGAGAACAGCCAATGGCAGAGTGAGGGGAAGTATTATACCAGAACTCCGCCAAAGCAATCCAAGAAGACCATTTGGCCGGGCATGCATTGACAAAGCAGCGTAAGAAGGTCTCCATTGTCTGATTGAGGCATTCAGTCTGACCATCAGACTGTGGGTGGTAACTGGAACTCATCTGCAAGGAGACATCGGCCAAATGGAATAGTTCACGCCAAAATTGACTGGTAAAAATACGATCCTAATCAGAGATAATGGCAGTTGGCAGACAATGCAAACGATAGACATTGTTGAGAAATAGCTTAGCCACCACAGCAGCTGTAAACGGATGGAGCAAGGGCAGGAAATGGCCATACTTGGTGAAGGAATCTACCACAATGAGAATATAGTTAACATTACCAGAGCGGGGCAGCCCCTCAATGAAATCCAGAGATATAGTGTGCCAAGCAGCCATAGGTACTGGCAGAGGTTGAAGAAGACCAGGCAACCGACTTCGATCAGGCTTAGCCTGTTGGCAAGTTAGACAAGCTTGAATGAAGTCTCGTGTAGCGGATTTCATGCCACGCCACTGGAATAGCTGCTTCAACCGAGTATATGTTGCCGAAAATCCAGAGTGACCCCCCAAAGCGCTGGCATGGATGGCATGGAGAATTCTCTGCTGTAGGACCTTGTTGTCCCCAATCCAAATACGATGTCCCTGACGTAGAACACCGTCTCGTAGAGAAAATCCTGGCACGGCTACAGAATCAATGGTGAGTTTGGCAATCATCTCGGATGAGATAGGATCAACTGCATATCCTGACACCACATCTTGTATCCAGGTAGGGGCAACCACAGAAATAGCAGCACATGATGAATCATGGAAACTCTTGCGAGACAAGGCATCAGCTACATGGTTTGCAGCACCCGGCTTGTATATAATGCGAAACTGAAGACCAATGAGCTTAGAAAAGAGCTTCTGCTGCCATGATGTATGCAAACGCTGGTCAGTAAGTTGGACAAGGCTCTACTGATCAGTAAAAATGGTGAATTCAGCATGTTGAAGATAAGAACGCCACTGCTGAACTGCCATCAATACTGCCATGTATTCCTTCTCATAAGTACTGAGGCCACGAGAATGGGGTCCTAAGGCCTTGCTGAGAAACGCCAAGGGATGACCCTCCTGAGTAAGAACAGCACCAATACCACTAGCACTAGCATCAGTCTCAATGCTAAATGGCTTGGAGAAATCCGACAAAGCAAGAACTGGTGAAGAACTCAGGGCTTGCTTGAGAGCTTGGAATGGCTGATCATGTGCAGTAGTCCAGCTGAACAAGGTGTTCTTTTTAAGCAGCTCAGTCAACGGTTTTGCAATGACACCAAAATTGCGGACAAATTTTCTGTAATACCCCGCTAAGCCCAAGAAACTGCTCAAATCCTTAACTGATTGGGGAGTACGCCAATTGACCACAGCCGCTACCTTCTAAGGATCAGTGGTAACCCCTACTGGAGTAATGACATGGCCGAGATATGCAATACTCTGCTTGGCGAACTCACATTTATTCAGTTTGATCTTCTAGTCATGAACTTGAAGCTGCTGAAAAACCAACTGTAGGTGGTGGAGATGTTCTTCATAGGAGGGACTGAAGATCAAGATATCATCGAAGAAAACCAAGATAAATTTCTGAAGAAAAGGAGCCAGAGTGGAATTCATAGCATCTTGAAATGTTCTAGGTGCGCCCATAAGGCCAAACGGCATGACTCTGAACTCAAACTGTCCAAAATGAGTTTGGAAGGCGGTTTTGAACTCTTCACCGGGCTTCAACCGAATCTGGTGGAAACCCGAGAGCAAATCGAGCTTAGAAAACCAAGAAGCTCCAGCCAACTCATCTAGAAGCTCATCAATTATGGGTACTGGATATTTGCTTTTGGCTGTGATAGCATTCAATTGCCGGTAATCAACACAAAACTGCCATGTATTGTCCTTTTTTCTGACCAACAGCACAGCCGAAGAGAATGGGCTGGTACTCTTTTGGATAATACCTGAGGCCAACATGTCCTTGACTTGTTTCTCCACCTCATCCTTGATAGCTGGGGAGAAACGGTAAGGACGAGAAGAGAACGGCGCTGCACCAGGAACTAGGGGAATTGAATGATCACAGTGGCGAGGAGGCAACTGAGTTGGCGGATCAAACAACCCCGAATAATCTTGTATCAGTTGCTGAACTTCGACAGGGTAAACAGGAGGATCAGAAAACTATTGATGATCAAGAGAACATAACTATAGAACTGCTCTAGCTGTCAGATCCGGCAGAATACCCACTAACTAAACAGCATTGCCCTGGTGTTGGAGCTGAATCCATTTCTGGCCCCAATGGACTGACATCGGACTATGAGCTTCCAACCAATCCAAACCCAATATCATGTCATAAGAGGACAGTGGAAGAACCTTCAAATTGGAAGAAAACTGGCAACCCTGGATAGACCAACTGGCATCAGGAATGTGTGAAGAACAAGTGAGTACCTGCCCATTAGCGACCTGGACTTGCAAGGGAGGAGATAACTGTTGCAGAGTTGGAAATGTCGAAGCAACAGCTGAGTTGATAAAGGTATGTGAACTACCCGAATCAAGCAGAATTTTAACATGTTGATCACCAAGGAGCCCCCAAAAACACATAGTGCGCGGTTGAACCATTCCAGTTACTGCTGCCACTAATAAAGAGAGAAACAACTGCTCTGGTTCCGCTGCCTGAACTGAATCCGCAGCTTCAATAGGAGTGGCTTCACAAAAAACATCCAACAGCTCTTGCACGACATGTAGTTGGACGGCAGCAGGGCATTGATGATCACGACTACATTTGCCACCACACCTCATACAAGGCCTTGAGCACGCCGGATCGCGCGGAGAGCGGACCAGTGCTCATCCAAGGTCGGCCCACGCCCAGCGTCCACAACCGGCTTCACCTCGGCGGCCGAAAGGGCAAGACGGGGAGGTGGTGGAGGTAGTGGAAGCGCCATCGGAGCATACGGACGGGGACCCGCCAAATGTTCCGCACGGCGGAAGTCCCGCTTCTTGGCCGGATCAACAACCTCCTCCTGCAATTTAGCAAGAATGCAAGCAGTATCCAAATTTTGGGGACGATGCAAAGCCACTGCAGCTCTAATATAATCTTTCAAACCATCAACAAATCTCGTAGCATAGTAAAGAGGGTCTGTGGTACCACCATAACCTGATAAATCATCGACGATAGCAATGAATTGGTCTATGTACTCTTGAATAGAATTAGTTTGACGGATTTGGAAGAGTTGTCTAAGCAAAAGCTCATGCTCATCCTGGCCAAAACGATCAAGGATCAAGCGAGTAAAAGTAGGCCAAGTAGCGGACTGAAGCTGGGATTCAACAGAAGGGTACCAACGCTTAGCAGCGTGTGTAAAATGCATTTTAGCGACCCTAACCCACATGTGAGGTTCAGTACCATAGAGATCAAAGTAATCCTTGCATCGACTAAGCCAGTATTTAGGTTGGGATCCGTCAAACTTAGGAAAATCAAATTTAGAAAGTTTGGGTGGCTGGAACCCATTATACCCCACCCCGGTAGTACCACTATGAACCCCAGGATCGTCAGTAGACTGGAAAACAGATCTTGGAGAGGGAGGAGTGGGGAATGGTGGCATACCCTTGACCGGGGAATGAATCAGGGTAGAAACTACCCCAAATCCACTCTCCCGATGGTGATTGTCGACGCAGTGCCCATTGGGCAGATTTGCTGGAGCGTTGACGAATGGACGCTCAACAGCTGACGGAGCGACGGCGAAGATGCCCGGCGTGGAAGCCGGTTGCTCCAGAATCGCCCGCTCCCAGTTGTGAGAGATCTTCGACACCTCCAACTTGGACTTCGAGATGTCAATCTTCATGTCGTCGACGAGGCCTTCAATCAACGGCCGCCACTCATCGAGCGACGCGGTAACCTTCTCCAGAGCCGCCATGCGCCCCTCCTGCGCCTGCTCGAAGTCCTGGATCTGGCGAGAGAGGCGCGCTTCCTGATCCACAAAACGCGAATCCCACTTCTGGTCATGCTCGTTGAATCGGCGGTTGATCTCTTCGAGGATGATTTTGGTCTCTGGATTCATGATTCCCAGTCGGTGTTGTCGTCGGGTGAAGTGGTCGTGGGCTAAAGGTTGGGAATGATCCAGATCTGCCGCAACCGCAAGTCGATTCAAGCGGAGAAGGGAATTACGGCGACCAAATCCCTAGCAGTAGCTCACTGCTAAGAACGAGATTGAGCCAACCGGATCACTTGCTCAAATCAACCGATGGGGAGTAAAAGCAGATCGATGTGGAAACCCAAAATCGGTCTCTGATACCAATTGTCAGCAGTAGGCAGGAAGTAGAAGCAATTTGGGTAAAGATCAGACGAACAGCATAGAAATCAGATGAGAAGGAGGCAGGAAGGAGGAGTGCTTAGAGTTTAGAGTCTGTTACAAGATTCATCATAATCCTCTCTCTCGCTCACAGCGTCTCTTTTACACGGCTTCTGCCCGAAGGTGCTCGCAGGCACAATCACAGCCATTCCATGCCAGCCAGATGCACGTTGGGCCGGCGAACGCGTTTTCCAGTCCGAAGCCCCTAGGCCACCTCTTCTGAAGTATCTGCCGTAGATGGGCCGCTAACAATTGGTTTAAGAAAATTCACAGGGAACGCAGGCTCACATTCCTTCACTGTCATAAGTCAACCAATTAACATTTACTTCTCCCAATAAACACACCAAATCTAAAGAGAGCCGACAGACCTAACAGATCTTACCGGTCCTTCATATAACACAACCATTGTAAATACGGCTATCATTTACGTGCGAGTGCGAAACAAGTGAAGTGAGACACACGACGAGTAGGTTAACAGCTTACCTCTTGCTGCAGCGACAGCACAGCCTTTTTGCTACCCTTGCTTGTTGCAGAGGAGCTTTAAAAAAAAAGAGTGCTTGCGTAAGAAAAGGCAAACAAACTTCAACATATTAACAAATCTGTGCAAGTGTAACCGTGTTGGGCTGCACGCCTCTGCTGCTGATTGCGACATATGTACAAATATGATGGCCACTGTTTGATCATGCTACACAACCATTGCTCGTACTATTTCACATACTGACTCTGCATGTATGAAAACTGCCAAGATGCTCTCAAAATCCTAAATTATTTGCGACTGCATAACTTTACATCTTTGAGGTGCTTTAGTTTTACTTTGCTCTGAGAAACACAGGAACTGGCGGTTTTATGCCTCGGTCTCAAGTTGTTGACCTGGTGGGCAAGCAGACCAGAAGCGGAACAAGTATGATGCGCCCACAGCTCACCCATGTTGGCAGGATTCTGTTCCTCTTCCTGCGACTGTGAGCTCTTTTCCACCCTTATGGCGGGCTTTCAGAGTGGATGGAGATGCCATTTGATTCATGCCAGGTGCCCTGTTCTCCAAAATATCTGTCCTCAGAAAATATAATGCCAGGCAACTCCGGTTTGCTCCAAATGCAACTATGCTGAAATAAGAATGGCCTGCTAAGAGGTGCAAGAAATCTAAGTTAAGTTTGATGCACTATGAAGATGGTAGGCAGGTGTAACTTCAGAGTACAGCGAAAAGCACAGTAGCACAGGACTACACGACCCCTGAACATAAACTGACCTAAAACCTACAGGCCTCAACTCTCTCTGGTCATGGACTCGTGTGTCATGCCATATTAGCTAGCAACACTACACACATGAGCAAAAATATTACTCCCTCCATTCCAAATTATAAGACATTGTAGCTTTTCTAGATGCACTTAGATTACACTGTCTACCAATGTATATAGAAAAACCAAAACGTCTTATAATTCGAAACGGATGGTATAAAGCAGGCAAAATGCAGGGAGTAAGAGCAGTTTCTGATCAAGAGTCTCAACACTAAATAACTAGTTAACTACAAACTGCTCTTCACCATATGGCACAATTCCTTCTAGTGTTTGTTCACTTGAATGAATGGCAGAAAAATACAGCCTAACACATGAATAAATGACTGGTCTAGAAAAGCTACTCAAGTATCGTATTGAATGATCTTAGAGCTACTCCCTCCATTCCAAATTATAAGACGCTTTGGCTTTTCTAGATACGTAGCTTTTGTTATGTACTTAATGTCTGGATACATAGTAAAGCAATGTATCTGAGAAAGCCAAAACGTCTTATAATTTGGAACGGGTGAATACTTGATTACTAGAATGGGCAAGCAAGGTATCTTTCCAGCTATGGCACAAGCACCTCTGGATGCATACATCATAAATGCTTAACCTCGAGAACCTTTCGATATTGTTTCCTACTCCCTTCGTTCCAAATTATAAGACGTTTTGGGTTTTCTACATACATAGCTTTTGCTATGCACTTAGATATGGAGGAAGATATCACACGACGGGTCGCGCGATTGGGAACCGCGCGACTCGCCTTCCTCCTCGCTGGCGCCGCCCCTGCCCCTGCCTTTCGCTCCGCTGGCACCCCTCCTCCGCCGCCCCCTCCCTCACGTATCCACCACCGGCGTACAGGTTTGGACGCCCATGCCCCGCCTCGGCGCGGTAGGGTCCCACCAGAGCTCTGCGGCCGCGGAGCTCCAGCGAGACCCTACCGCCCACGGCGACCTCCTTCTTCCCCTCCCGAATCCCCACCACCACCACCACCCCCCGCCACCATGGCTATGGTCGCCCCCACCTCAACCTGGCCCGATCGCTCCGGCGGCGTCACTGCCGCCTCCGCCGTATCTCCCGTCCCCACCGCCTGGCCTACCTACCTCCCTCGACCTCCTTTCTAAGCCCGCCGGAGATGGAGGAGAAGAGAGGGGCTGACTACCATACTGCGCGCGTCGCACGATAGTGCAGATGCGCAAGCAGTCGCATAATTGAGTTTCCGCTTAGACATACAGTATGTCTAGATACATAGTGAAATCAATGTATCTAGATAAGCCAAAACGCCTTACAATTTGGAACAGAGGGAGTAATAAATATCAGTCTGGAAGAACATTTCTAGCTATTTAAGATGCTCTTCCAGACCCAGAAAGATCCAACATAATGACATCTCCAGGCAACAAATGAAGAGACTGTTCTCGAATTCACCAAAGACATGCATAAATATTAAGCCAAACTTGATATGAAGTCCAAACCATGTCTCCTAACCTTAGGTGAAGTTAGAATTGAATTCACCATGTTGTCACTACAAAAATCAAATACCAACTTTGGCAGAAATCAGACAGATTGCAGGAGAAACAGTGGATACAAGTAGTAAGCTTCAACGGCATATCCCACAAAATAATAGCAATGATATTTATCCTAAATAAACAAATATAAGAATTTTGCATACTTTGTTTACTTCTGGCTTTACCCTATGAGAGAGCACCAACTGCTGTGTAAAATTCAGCCAGTTGGATCCATTTTGTCCGTTTTAATGCTTATTAGGAGGCCAAAGAGGATGACCATTTAGGATGAATGTAGCATTCCCAGAAAGAAACTAGGCCAAATTTGATCAATAATGGCCTGCAACAACCAACAAGCACTACCTCTGCATAAATAGTTAGACAAAAAATGGAATTTGGCAAGCACAAGAACACACAACAGTAAAATTAAAATATAATACTACTTTAGTACAATAATAATGCCAAATAGTAAACCAGTACTAGACGAAATGCAGTTTACCTTTAACTACTTTTAGAAGGGAACTAGTCAGTAAGCCTCAGCCGTCTAAAGAATTCGAACAGATGAAAATTAGATGTCCAGTAAAAGAAAGCTATCACAGGACCATCTCTGATGAACTGCAAGTTGCAAAACAGAAAGTATATTAGAAAGACAATAAGTATAGGACCAAAGATGTATTTTGTTTATTAAATTCACCTTTCCATCTAGTATCAAAAGCTCCCCGTCAACCCATCGAGGGTTTTGGAAACCAGGATCTGCAATTTTCCTTTGCCCCTTGTACCTAGCAATCTATATCACATTGGTTGTAAGGTTTGATGTTTGCTGGTGAAAAGACAAAATACTATTTGGATTATAGAAAATACCACTCCAAGTTCTCTAGGGATAATTCCCTTATGAGGGAGCTGATAGCGTTCACCAACTTTTGCACGGAAGACAACCTTAGCAAAGGAACCATAGGAGGTCAGTCTGAATCACTATGCTTATCAATGACAATTATACTTATCGATGATATAGCATAAAGTTAGGCTGCGTCAGCACTCCTTGAAAAATTTATGCAACAACTGAACGAAATCGACAGAGAAGGCTGTCCACAAATGTGTATGACATGAACACACTTCTTAGCTTGAAGTTGGTGAGTGAAAATTAACATGGGAATATAAAAAATAATGTATTAACTACTTCCTCAGATCACAAATATGTCACTTGGGTTTGTCCTAAATCAAACCTTTTTAACTTTGACCATTATTATATAGATTGACATTACTACATTCATTATGACAACCGCTTTCAATCATATATAACTATTGTCATTTAAGATAATATACTTCTATTGACATTGCTGGTCGAAGTTAGAAAAGCTTGATTTAGTTTAAACTTAGATGGACTTACTTATATTTGTGATTGGAGGAAGTAAACCTTCTAACCAGGAAGAGCATAAACCAGAAGGCACGTATTACTTAGCTACTTACAAACACTATTCCTGTATGGTAATAAGAACCCAGCAAAAGTTATCACACCTGACTAGCTGGCACGAGGTTGTCCCCTGTTAATTTTACAGCTTCAACATACTCATAGAACAATAGGTCATTATGCTCCTCAGATGAACCATCCTCCCGCCATTGACCAAATTTTCGTTGCAAACTAAGAATTTCTGAGTCAAATCCTGATGCGGTCACATATAAGCCTGCCCAAAGAAATACTTCAGTCAATACTCAATACCAGAAAGAAAAGAGAAGACAAGATGCATATCATGAAAAGCTCAAGTGGTAGGTACACAATTTGGAACATACCGGTAAGAGGATCTGAAGATATAGACGTCTGAATACGACTAAAGTGGGTAACACCATGCAGTTTTTGCTGCACCTTGCTGTTATTTTGTTTGATGCCAAGTTGCAGTATCTGCATTAGATAAGTTGAAATGATATCAAGAAGCTTTTCCACACCGGCCGCAACCGAATTTCATTACGCTTGTAACGAAATTACAACGTTCAGTATGGAAACATTCTAGCAAGATATCAAGAAGCTGTTTAAAAGTATTTCATATTGTAAGTCGACAGCACCATACAGAAATTCATCCTATTTTTTGCACCAAGCACATTTATGTTCAAAAACCGCGGAATTCATTTATATATTCATGTCAATGTTGGAATCTGACAATCAACAGCAAACTAGATAATCAAAGGTACATGAAGGATCATGGGGCAACATTATCATAATAATCTAAGGTATTTGATACAGATGTAAGAATCTGACCATCAACAGCAAACTAGAAAAGCAGGTATGGTACACATTCTGCGGAGAAATGGTTGACAGGTCCTTGCTATTTATCACAAGGTCAAAGTGGTCCAATTTACAAGCACAATGAATGGCATCAAAGGCTAATGCAGCACATTATACAAATAAAGTATTTACCGATAGTTTTTTGTTGCTGCCACTCAACTTTACACGATCAAGCTGGACAAAACCATCATAATCCTGCTGATCGGTATGCAAACCAACTGTTTTCTTTGAAGTCTGCTGGGCCTTTCCAGCATCTAGCTTTTTACTGTATTCTTCAGTATAGAAGGAAAACGAGAAGCGGTCTCTTTTTTCTAATCTAGCTGGCATTCGTTCAAAAGCTTCAGCAGATGGACGAGAAGCATAGTCGTTGTTATTCTCACTGACAAAATGAATTGAAACCAAGGCTTCAATATCACTTTCGTCACCAGATTCATCACCGTTCTCTTCTGCAGAAACTGTTTCTGCTACTCCACTGTTATCTTCATCACCAACATCTTCTGAAGATTCATTTTCAACTTCAGGATCATCATTGTCATCATCTTCCTCTGAAATCTGATCAAAGATATTGATTATGTAGTCTTGGTCAACATTCTGCATGGGTACCACTTTCAAGATTTTAATCCTGGGAACTGCAGTTGGATCGCTTGACAAATTTTTCGAACCAGGTCCAGCAGCAATGTTTCTATCATCACTATCTTTATCATCCATGTTTACACTTCCATCGAATTCTTCATGCTTAGACCCTACTGAACTGCTAGATATGTTTATACTATCAATACCAAGTTTCTCCCTTAACATGTTTGGCACTCGGTCAGAATCGCTATCATCTGGTTTCAGATGCACTGCCTGAAAATAACATCCCAATTTTTCAGAAGATGCACAGAACTATAACACATTAGTTAACAAGATAACAGTTCATTTTTCATATAGGAGTAACTGTTATTGTGACCTTACTCATAGCTACTGAAATCTTGCAGTTAACAATATCAGCTCTTGAAATGGGAAGCTGCTCAAAACTGAGACAGGAAATTTATTCACAGTGCATGCCAAATACATTTTCCCAATATAATGCAAAGTTGCAAACACTCAAGTTCATTGTGCATGGATTTATGGCCCTGAGGGAACTAACGGGCAACTACTATGGGAACAAGAAATGTTAAGTGTTAATACTCAAGTCTGACAGACATGTGCAAGTACAGACCAGCAACATATAGTCCAGACAGAGAGTTAATATTTTTTTTTTTTAAAATAGTATGCAACACTGTCCAATATGACGCTTGTCATTATCATATTCTATACTGTTAATGTCAAAAATCTCAACCATGTCATTATCATATTCTATACTGTTAATGTCAAAAATCTCAACCATGGGAAGAAGACATCTCCCTAGCTTTTCTACCAAACCCTGACCATGAAACACACTGAAACCAGTTCTCACTTCTCAGAAAGGTACCCACATAACATGTGAGCCAGGTACAAAGCCAGGAGATGTCTTCACAAATGGAGGCTCCATCAACTGAGTTATAACTCAGTCCTCAACAGCAAAAAGAAATAAAGGGAGACATCCAGAATTTCTAGAGCACATGTGATAACTTAGTATTCTGTTTATGAAACTGGTAACAAGTGGTAAAATTCCATGATATCGAAGATGATTTTCATGTTTCCCAACCCAGAATCTCACTGCCAAGATTATTTTAATATTTGCACATTGACTTTACTTTTATTAAGTGTAAAACATTGTACCTGCAGGTTGTATCCACCATTTTCCTCTGCATAGTATATTTCAAATATAGGGAGACCAGGGCTGTCAGAAGCCAGCTGTCTGAAAATGAGGAGAACTAAAAAGTCATTTAGCATGCAAACAAATATTTCATACAATAAAGTAAACGCATTTTACACCAGTAAAATGAAATCAGCTAATAGTTACTATAACATTAACAAGCATATGGATCACCAGCATATATATTTAAGAAAGTTTCAAATTATAGTGTTGATTATATTAATTTATGAAACATGTGTGTTACTGTTCAAGCAGCCCGCTGCACCATATCACCAACTAGGAATGATAAAAGGAAGTTTCTTCTTGCAGTTCTTCATAGAACATTTTAATGATTTATGATTGGCATGCTGAGACTTGCTTTGAGATATTTTGAAAACAAGATGTTCACTTTTATGAATTCGCAGCCCATTTTGTCCACACAATTCTTCACCGATAAGCTCCAGTGGCTGATTCAACTAAGTAGGCTAACTCAACCACAAACAGACACACTTCTCTCCTGCTGTACCCCAATTTCTCTACGAGTGACCTCCTGATGCTCAAACCACTACTGATACGCACCCCATAACCAAAATAGCATTGCCAAATGCCAATAGCTCCTTAAGTGCTCTAGGACCTAGAGCATACTGCAGTAGAGAACCCAATTATCCTAGGCATTTTTTACCATCCACAGCGAAATACTAATATTGAAATGTATTCGAGCATTCCATCCATTAAAACAAAGACGCAAAAATGAAGAGCAAGTCCACTCACAGAATGATCAATTAAACTATAAAAACAATCACCAATAATGTTTAGCTCCTTAAGTGCTATACCGCAGTAGAGAACCCCATTATCCTAGGCATTTTTTCCCATCCACAACGAAATATTAATAATGAAATGTATTCAAGCATTCCATCCTTTAAAACAAAGACAGCAAACATGAAGAGCAAGTCCGCTCACAAAATGACAATTAAACTATAAACAATCAACAATAATGTTATTATGCACAATTGCGCATAATAATATTCAACAAAATTAATACCTTGTATCATAACTTCTTGCCACATATCGACCATGTTCAGCACTTATACGAATTATAAGACCATATGGATCGGACAAATTTCCGGAAATTCCAGACCACCACCCCAGCTGCATGTGCTCTAATGGATCAGGTAATGGCATATTTTGTTCGGATGGAAAGAAATATGATGTAATAGGCAATTATGACTTTACAAAGCATAATCAAAGATTTATTGTTTGAGAAAGAATAGTAAAAATCTATTAACTTGGATGTGAAGACGTCAAAGAAACTTAGATAGCAAGGGACAAACAATATAGAGGAACTCTATGGTACTAACCAGTCCTGCGCCAGCATGATCTCTGATATATGCTGCGTCCTTGTAGCGCTCCTCGTCTATGGCCATCTGCAAAACCCAAAACAGCAGACAACTATCTTATAAATAACAATTTTAGTTTCGACCGTTGTGGAAAAAAGAACAACATCCCCATACATTGAGTCATTTCAGATAGCTGCAAACTTAGCTATTGTTTATTACTTCTTTCAGTCAACTAAGTGGTGTTTTTTACTTATAAGACCTCCAAAAGGCCACTTTGACCATAATTTACTAAATATCTAGTGGTGTGCTTTTTATAAGAAAGTACAACATCCAATCTAAATATTCAGAGATATGGATACCAGAGATTAAATCATCTGGAGGCAGGCATCCTAAAATGTCACTAGTTTTACTAGAGGGACAGCTAAACTATTAACCATGCCAGACATTCATCCTTTTGGTAGAGTAGGACCAACATTACACTGCAAGTAGGGTGTAATGTAGAGGGGGGAAATTCAAAATTCCAAGAAAACGAAAAAGGTAAGGAATGCTATTTACCACTAACTACGTAAGAAAATAGATATTTCTTACATTTAAGTCAGAGATAGCTCTGCCCACAGTGTCATTTTTTGCTGTAGCAGCAATAGCCAGCCTCAGTTTATGAGCACTCCTGTAGTCTTCTCTATAAACAGCAGCCTGGAGTTGCAGCTGAAATGCAATATACATGTATCAAGATATTTGCTATTTCTCAATATAGATTATAGTGCTAATGGTATTTGAAGTGAGATCAGCACAAAATACAACACACACACACACACACACATGACACATAGGCCGACCATGCAAGCAGCAATTCACTCTAAGAGAAGTTCTATCAACATGTACTTAAAAACCACATCGCACATCACTCAAATCGCACATAAGATCCTGAAACTCTGCAACACTGGCATGAACCAAGGACAGTCTCAAAACATTTATTAGACACTAAATTATGCAGTTTGGTAGCAACCACAATAAAGCCAGGTACATTTAGTCATGTGTTCCATTGAAACAGCTGCAATTCCAGCACTACATTTAACTATTCGAGCATAGGGGTTCTATGTACAAACAGGGAAAGGTCTATATATAACCCCCCACCCCACACCATAGTTATTAAGGCGTCACCTAGGCGACGACTTGGCGTCCGGGCGATTTTTGAAGCCGGGCGTCGGGCTCGCCACGACCTTCGGTCGTATGGCGTCGCCTTGCGTCAGAAGGCGTCGCCTAGGCGCGATTGGGCGTCCAGGCGGACGCCGTGCAAGAGCAAATGCGCGCGCAGGGGACGGGAAACTGAGAGAAAGAGGCGCGCGCGAGGAAAGAGACGCGCGCGCGGGAAGGAGAGTTGCGCGCGCGGGGGAAAGGGAAGAGGCCGCGCGAACCTGGACTCCCTGCCGGCGGCGCGTTGCCTCCTTCCATCAATCTGCGAATCCTCCCTCTTCTTCGACGACTCCTCCCTGATTCGTGCCTCCCCATCCGCTGGCCCGGAAGCCCACGTCACACAGGTATGAGGAGCCGTTCCTGATTCGTGCCTCCCCGTCCTCTTCCTCTTTCGATGTCCCTTCCTACTCTCCTGCACCTCTGCTGTGTTCTACTCTCCTCTGCTTGCTCTGTTCTTCTCTCCTCTGCTTCTTGTGCTTAGATGCGCCTCTGCTCTGTTCTACTCTGAGCCTCTGCTCTGCTTCTTGTTGCTTGCTCCAGAATTGGCTCCAGAACTGGTAGCAGAAAGGTATGTATAAGTGTATGTTTGTGCTGTCCTATGGAAAGTTGGTGTATGTGTATGGCGTCGCCTCGCCGCGCGCCTAATTCGCCTAGGCGTCTGGAAGGGGGTGGAGCGCCGCACCTCGCCTTACCGCCTTAAAAACTATGCCCCACACACACACCCCACCCCCACCCCCCAAAAAAAAGGTATTGTCTTAGACTATGTAATACCATTCAAATAAACCCCGGAGGTGGCTTTGCCACCATGACATTTGGGCTCGCTTGCCAGAGATGACATGTGGCATCTGGATCCTCGCTGGCATCTGATGGCATCAGGGCCGTCCCGTCAGGATCTCCTTCAACCTCCAACCGTCCCATTCGGCCATTCCCTCACACTCCTCTGCCCCTCTGTCCGACTGAGCTGCGAGGCGGCATGGTCTCCCTCATCTACCCTTGGCCGTCAAACCTGTTGCAGTGGTAGGCGGCGCTCCTCCGTCCGGCCTGGCATGACAACCGAGGAACGGGAGGGTGGCGCCAGCGCCACAAGGGAGCAACGTTGCCATTGGACAACCTCAGATGCGTCGTGAAGGAGGAACATCTCCATCAGCTGTCCTCCTCTCTGCCGCCCACTTTCCACCATCCTATCATCGTCATGGAGCCCATCGAGGGCTCATGGCCGGAGCTCACAGGAGGTTTGAAGTGAAGGCAAGGGGTGCTCGGTGAGGTGTCGATAGAGAGAAGGGTAAAGGGGAGAATGGGGGCTGGTGCCCTTGGATTTGCACCACTGCCACCAGAGACGCATGTCAACGGCAAGAACCGATGCGCCGCCCTCTTCGCATTCGGTCGCAGTCCTTGGCCCTCTTCGCATTTATTTGCCATCACTCAAGTAACAAATCCTGATGCAGAAGCTAAATAAAAAAATGGAAAATGATGTGTCCATCCTATTCATACAATGGTGCACCTGCAGTGTGTTCAATTGTACCTTAGTGAAGTGGTGTAAAAACTCCAGTGTCGAGTCACAAGCAAGTTCCGTCCACATTTAAAGCATTACTACCATGTAGTAAGTATAGGGATAAAACTAACCTGGAGCTCATCAACGAGACGCTCGCTCTCCTCGATGAGAGCAAAGTGCCGCTTCCACCTCTCCCAGCCCCATTTCCCCTCTTCCTCCCCAACCTTCCTCTCTTCATCCCCATTCATAACCTCCTCCTCGTGAGAACTCCCAGCCCTCTTCCCCGTACCCGCCTCCTTGACAGAGGTCGGTGGGGGCCAGTAATTTCTGACGTACTCGCTCCACCGTCGCACGACACCCTGGAAGGCGTCGTGGAGCATCGCGTCCCAGCCCCGCCGGCGCCGCTCATCGCCGGCGTCCGCGTCGGGGCTACGCGCGGAGTAGCAGACCAACGGAGCGCGCCGCGACGGGGCCGCGCCGGCGAGGCGGCGGACGACGCGGAGGCGCCGCCCGGCGAGGAAGCGGCTGCCGCTAGGGTTCGGATCCACCTGCCGCGCGGATGACGAGGACGACGCTACCGCCGGGAGCGGAGCGCGCGGCGCCGTGGACACGGACGCCATGGAATGGACGAGCGCGAGGCAGGCGGACGCGACGGCGACGCGATGACACTGGTGGCGGAGGAGCTCGTCTGCTCGTGGTCGGTATACTCGTACTCGCGTGTGTTCGATTGATGAGGCTCGCCGCTCGCGCGTTGCGGTTGGAGATTGGAGTCGTGCTAGACGGCTCGACCCTCGTCTCTTGTGTGGATTAGAACGAGGCCAGGGGTGGTGATAAGACTCGCCGAGAGCAGACAACCTCCGTAACAGACTGTGACAGACAGGTGGACCTCGGAAGGGGACAGTTGTTTTTGGGCCCATGCGCTCGTGGCGGCGTTGCGTCCGAGCTTTAGCAGCTTGCATGAGACCCATTTCATAGCCACAGCAAAAGAGTCAATGTATATGGCCAATGGGCCGGCCCAGCCCGGCCTGGCATGGGCCCGTGCCAGGCACGGCCCGATGGGGTTCGGGCCGGCACGGCACGTCGTGCCTTCCGGGCCGTGCCGAGGTGGGCACCGTGCCTGACCTACGGCCCAGGCACGGCCTGCTGGGCCGATTGCTGGCCCGATAAACACGGCCTGTCAGGGAGGCCGAGCCAACCCAAGGCCTACTTCAGCAGGCGATGACGGCGTCGAGGTCGATAAGGCCGCCGGCCGCGCCAGCAGCATCAGAGAGAGAAAAGGGAAGAACAGGAGGGGCAGCACGGGAGCGCGGTGGCGGTGGTGGTGCATGGAGTCATGGAGGAGGCCTCGAGGCAGATCCGCAACGTCAATGCCATGGCAAGCTCAAACTTGTTCATCTCATTCCAGTAAGAAAAATCGAAAAAAACAAAAATCATAAGGCTCTAGATCTCACGGATCAATCACAAGTCCACAACACTAAAAAAGAAATCGAAAAATAGAGAAATCAGACAAAGGTCACGCATTCACACAAATCAGAGAAAAAGTGAGAGGGAGCTCAGAGGAGAGGCACGCTGCCTGCGCCCGGATCTATGGGGGAGGAGGCCGCTATGTTGCCTCCTGCACGCAAATCCGAGGTGGAGGAGGCCTCTGCGCCGCCCCTACGCACTGATCCGAGGGGGTGGAGGACTCTACGCCGCCCCTGCGCGTGGATCCATGGGGAGGAGGCCGCCTTGCGAGGAAGAAGGGAGGACGCCGCAGGAAGAGGCCACCGCGCTACGCCACCGTGCGTGCGGTTCTGAGGGGAGGGGCGTCGCCGCGCCCTAAGCTCGGTTCTGAGGGAGAGCGGAGAGGCCAAGGAGAGGGAGAGGCCGAGAGGGAGAGTGGAGCGGGGATGGGCGATGGCTGCGTGGGGGCGTGGGGCTGAGCGGGGCCATATGAGGAGGAGGGGGAGGCGGCAGGCCGGGCCGCCAACGGGCCACCGGCTCTGTAACAGGCCGTGCCGTGCCGCCCCACGTGCCTGGGGTAAGGCCCAGGCATGGCCTGCTCCTCCGGGCCGTGCCAGCCCGAGCTTGCTTACGCCGAGCCGGGCCGTGCTTGGGCTGGGCCAAAAAAACAGGCCTTGGGCCGGGCCGGCGGGCTCGGGCTGCATGGCCAACTATGAGAGTCATGCACCCAAAACTCGCATTCTCCAACAGCCTATCCAAAAGCCCGTCCCTCTCTCCTCAATCTCTCTCCCCTGCGCCGCCCCTTCCCGTCCCTCTCTCCCTCTCTACCTCGACGTCGCCCGTCCCTCTCTCCCCTCCCTCGTTGAGCACGACGCCCTTCCCTCTCGGATCCGGCCAGCGATGGCACCCCTCCCTCCCCTCCCACCTGGATCCAGCGGTCGCGGGCGATGAGGACCCCGGATCCCCGCTCCCCGACGGCCGCGCCCCGGTACCCGCCGGTCGCACCTCGAGGCGGACCTCGTCACGTCGGCTCCTCGTCGCCCGTTCCTACCCCTCTCTCCTTCTCTACCCTGGCGCCGCCCGTCCCTCTCTCCCTTCCCTCATTGAGCACGGCGCCCCGCTCCCTGCCTCGACGCGGTACCCGCCGGCCACGCCTCGAGGCAGACCTCGCCGCGCCGGTTCCTCGCCGCAGCGGTCCGCCTGACCGCGCCTTGCCGCGCCCCGCTCCTACAGGCCCACCACTACGACGCCAGAGATTTGCGTCGGTCTCTCTCGATGGCGTAGATTTGTGTTTCGGCAAGCTTCGTATGCAAAATGGGTGAGGTGTTTGGGTCTTCTATTGGAGCGTTGTTTTTGGTAGACAAAACAATGTGAATGACCTATTTTACGTTTGGGTCATGGTTTGCATGATCTGTTGGAGACAGTCTTACATCCCTTCTTTTTCTTGCACGCTGCTTGCGGCCACGGAAACGCCGGGGCCACATAACGCTTAGGCACAGTCGCACAAACATTGCTCGTGGTACTTGGGGTGTCTCGACGAACTAAACTAAACTTTATTTCAACGTTTTGGATACCATTACAGAAGATCTAAATATAAACTAATTATAGTCTAACAAAAACTAATAGTGCTAATTGATGAGTACAACTTATTTAAAAATAATAATTAGTCCATATTTAGTCTATTATTTAATGATGAACCAAATTGTCCGGTGATCTAAAAGGCCCTTAATTATGACTAGACTAGGTAGCGTGCCCGTGCATTGCTACAAGATAGCTAACATTTTATACTAAAAACACACGGATCACACGATAAGATAACAATACTATAAAAATTAAATACCAACGTCAAAGTAACATTTAATCAAAAAGCAAAGTTTATGAATTTAACATAGTCACGGAGTGCGCGGCGTCGCAGGTTCACAAACTCTACTTTATAGACCTTTTCGTGATGCGGCTAAGATAATATTTTATATTGGTAGAAAGAAATATCTGATATCTATTTTTTCGTGCTCACAAACTAATGACCCTGGTGCAACAATGGGAAATATAAAGGAGCTATCCTCCTGAATGCGCAGAACCAACGCCACTACGATCGTGCCATCCCACGACTACTGGTATGGTGTTGTTTAGCACTATTGTTCATTATTATCGCTAACTTGCTTCGTTTGTTTTATTCAAGTAATTTATGTTTGTAATTATACAGGTGCTAATTCGGTTGATTCCACATTGGCACATGAGAAAAGTGGGAAAAGTCGACAAAACTCATGGTTTTGAGAACATACACGTGTAATAGTTATGAATGGTTACAAAACGAAATATTATGAACAAAACACTCAAAGTGTTATTTTTATAATAATAATAATATAACACATGTTCAATTTTCATTATGCCATCACACAAGTGTATATACAACATCTCCGTGTAGAGTCTGATAAACCATTTAAAAATACCTAGAAACAGCAACAAATATGGTATTAGTGAGATATTATTTGTACAATATAAATTGAATGGAAAAAATGTATTGTATGCGTTAGTAATGTTCTGTTACCTCACTTACGGCGTTAGAACCTCCTTAAATACAATATTCTTCGTGAAAGTTCCATCCGCTATTGGGGTTTTCTTATCCTTATCTTTTTTATTTGACGCATTCTTATTTTTTCCCCTCGGCATTCTTTTTAGCATTTTTCTTGTCTATCTTTTTGGCCTCCTCCTCTTGTGCCTCCGCATCAGGCGGGAGGGCAAGGATCTTAATATTGGTTCTTGACGTGGCTCTAGACATTGCAACGTATAACTGACCGTGAGAGAACACCGGTGCAGGTTGGTACACACCTACATTCAGAATAGTTTGGCCCTGTGACTTGTTGACCGTCATGGCAAAGCTCGGCCTGATAGCAAATTGCTTCCTCTTAAACTGGAATGGGAACATCTCATCATCAGACATGCATAGCGGTATTCGAGGAAGGAATACGCGCTTCCCAGCATGCTGCCCCACCACGATTTCAGCGTCGATTGTATTTCTTCGGAACCCCCGCACCACCAGCCTTGTACCATTGCATAGCCCATTGGCAGGGTCAATATTCCTAAGCAATATAACAGGACACCCGAGCTTGAGCTTCAAGACGTGTGGAGGCAGCCCATTGGGGGTCAAACTATTAAGGAACTCTGATGGATAGTAGTTATGTGGATCATCTACCGCGGAGTCAAAACTATGATACACCGTCTCGCCGCCCTAGAACATATCAATCATTTTCATATTGATCATGTCCACCCAATCGTTACGTGTAGATAAAATCGCTCTGGTGGTGATGTAGTCTTTGTCCGCCATGTTTGCATTTAGATCTAGAAAGATGATGTCGATCAATGTATGAAGATCTTTCTTGGCATCTCCAGAGTACGGGACACATATCTTGTCTGGAATACGTACATTGCCATCTCCATTAACCTCTTCTGTTCCACCACCAATGCGCAATAGATAATCTGCAAACCACGGGTCACTCTGAGCCCTCATGTTGTGGACGAGCTTTAGGTGGCGCATGGATTCCCAAAGATACGACCTTCGTAGAGAAGCACCGACTATTTGAGCTCTGGATCCTTTCCGCACAACAGGGAGGACCTGTCTGAAATCCCCACCAAGGACAATAGTCTTTCCACCAAATGGTAGGCTTGACCGGCCCATTATATCCCGTAGGCTGTTGTCTAGTGCTTCCACATTTTGTCTCTTTGTCATAGATGCCTCGTCCCAAATTATGAGAGCTGCTTGCTGCATCAACTTGGTAGTACCACTCTATTTCGTGAAGCTATAGCAACCGCTCTCTTGAAGAGTGAGGGGTATCTTGAAATGCGAGTGGGCTGTCCTCCCGCCTGGCATTATGGCTGCTGCGACTCTAGATGTAGTTGTAGCCACGGCAAGCTTGTCCTGGCTGCGTAGTTTTGCGAGAAGTGTCCTATACAAAAATGTCTTTCCCGTCCCGCTAGGTCCATCCACAAAGAACAACCCACCTTGTTTGCTGCAGATAGCGGCCATTATCTCATCATAGGCAGACCTTTGCTCGGTATTGAGTGAGTCGCACAATGGCACATCTTTGGGATTCTACTCGACGCTAGCTTCCTCAAATATCTCACGAGAAATATGGTTGTCATCGTCATATGAGTGATCAATATTTGGAAGAGGAAATGACCTTATGTCCTTCCCCATAGACTGCAGCATGTTTCTAATGTCTATCAAAACCATTTGTTACACCAGATTCGGGGATGGATGATTGCGGCTGTAGTCCTTTGACATTGCATCGTAGTGTTTTTTCCACAACCCCATCACATCATGCGGCTCGCAGAATACCAATATTGTTGCAAATAGCCTCCGCAGAGAGGAAGGCATCTAGAATAAAGTAGCTTCAGTTAGACATTCATCCAGTGTATTGTCTTCTTCGATTAGACCCCTCCTTTAGCTTCACGGAACGAAGGTAGTAGCACGCCATCAACCGTCCTTAGATGTTCGTATGAGGTAGCACCAGCAACATTGTTCAAGAGAACACGAAGAAAGTAACGTTCTCCCTCAGTAGGATGAGCCGAGATGACTCTTCCAACTTGAAAAATGGAGTTTTTCCTTTTCTGCCAGAATTTACCATCAGACTGTCAGGTAAAATGCTCAGGAAAGTCCCGATACAAGATTTTGTGGGCTTCGTCATGATGCTTGTTTGCATCGAAGTATGCTGTCAGCATTGACTCTTCTACACCTGGCCTATTAACGATCCGTTCGACCTTATCCCGTTTATGAAATGCCACCATGTGCATGTCGGGTAGATGAAGCTACAGCTACTGTACTGGTGGATGGTTCTTACTCAAGTCAAAGCCATATATCCTCCATAGTGCTTCTGAAGGCATCACCCACCGGGCATCTCTATACTGCTTGATCTCATCAATGTTCCCTTTCTCGTCTACTTTGTCGGTCTCCCTCATCACCACCGATGCCCTGTCATGTCCCTTGTATATGTATTTGAATAGATACTTTACTGATTTAATGCTCCCACAGGCCTCAACATTGATATGGCAGTTGAAGGTACATAGCAGGCAAGGGTTGTAAGACATGACCCATTGATTGTCTGGGTAATGGCCTCGAACTTTTAGTGTGCGGCCATCATTGCGTCGCTGATAGATGGGGTACAAATCCTTTCCCTGTGACGTTGCCTCATAGAATGGGCATGGGTAACGGTTCTTGCATGACCCACGGCCCACCGTGCACGGACAATATGGATTTAGCATCCCGTAGGGACCATGCATCATATGCTTCGTCACCATCTTGTAGAGCTCATGGTACTTCTTGTTTGGTAGCTCTACACTGATAATCATGTCATATTGCCTGGGACATGTGAGCTTGTACTTCTGTTCCATTATCAGCAAGAAGTGTGCATGCGGCAAGCCCCTCTTCTGGAACTCTACTACATATACATAGGCCTTCACCTTCCCAAGTATGCCTTTCTTTATCAACATTTTCCTCATCGCCTCTAACTTTGCTCTATAGACCCGTGTGACGAGATCTGGGCGGTCCTATGGTGTCTGGCCTGGATAAAGTTCATTCTTGATCTCATCCCAGTTAGGGTTGCATGTCATTGTGAGGAAGATATCAAGTTTACCATACTTTCACACCAGAGCCATGGCATACATGTATCGGCGCCTCATATCACGGGGTCCTCCGATGAATGACGAAGACATGACAGTACGCCTTCCGACATTCTCAGTAGATCCTTCACCCGAATGCATGCTGTCCACCAGGCCTTGGTATAGGTCAGCCATCAAAGTATCCTGATTGTTCCTCATGTAGTCTAAATGCGAGCTCTCAATCTTGATGTAGGTGTCGATGGCGAACTGCTAGAAAAGACGTCGGCCATAGAGTATTAGATTAAATATCCCTGGCCGCATCTGGAACTTGTAGCAGTAGTAGTCGCGCACGGAGACACATGTATTCAAAATAGGTTCTACAAGGAGACATTGTTCGAATTAGTATCATGCGTTAACAGAAAAGAGTTTATATTACATTATTGAAAAGAGTTCAAGTTACCTCCATCATCATCGTCACCATTCTCAACACACTTTTTGTGGATTGCTCGAGCTCGATCAACTTGAGCCATAGTCACACCCACTTTTGGAATGCAGTTGTGCCACCTGAGCTCACCCATTTGAAAGAACACCAGGTATGACAGTGGGTCATAGCATGCATTATATGAGCGGATGCCGTGTATAGACTGATCCTTCCCTTGTAGGAGAACACTATGCTCGAATTGGCCGTGACACTCACTCCCCTCAACCCATTAACGCATAGGCAACATGTCAGTAAGTCAAAAAAATAAAGTGTGAATATTTAGACATAATAAAAGGATCTAAATTGGGGGTAGTGTGACAATCCAGCAACTGTCCAAGAGTCAAGACATGAATTGGAATTCGCATAGGTGGTTCTTGTACATTTTTGTTGATGCAGGTTAACTAACTGACATACATATGTGAACACTTATCACCTTTTCATTTGTTGGAAGGAAACAATTATTCTGTATACAACCTTTCCATCAAAACAGATCCTGATGGTGGCATCGACATTGAAAACCTAGTGGCAATTACTGTCAATAGTTTTCAAGAAGTGAAAAGACTATATGAAGTGGGGACCCGCTTTAGATCAACCGCTCCCACTATGGCTAATTCTACATCAAGAAGATCTCACTGGTAATCTTTTTTACTTTATTGAAGAAAAATCCTTACTATAACAATTGAAAAGGCATCAGCCATGGCTGCATCTAACTGAAATAGACCCTGAATCAAAAGTGCATGCTTACTGAAACCTTATTATGCTAGCATAGGAAAGTAGCTGCTTTATTGAAAATACCATGGAAGAATTTCTATAGTAAAGCCTTACACTCTTCGTTATGTGCAACAGTTTGATTCGTATTGCATTGACCTCATTTGACGCACCAGAGAGAAAAAGGGCAAGAAACATATTATGGATGATTGATCTAGGTGGAAGTGAAAGGCTTGTAAAGACAAAGGCAACTGGGAAAAGACTCAAGGAAGGAAAAGCCATAAATCTGTCACTATCAGCCCTAGGGGATGTGGTAGATGCACTACAGACCAAAAAATCACACGTCCCTTATAGGTAAATAAAATCCCTAATATACTGGTGTTTGGCAGTTATCACAACATATTTTTATTTTCAAGACAATGATACACGTTCAAGTTCTTAATTCTCAGGAATAGCGAGCTCACACAAGTTCTTAGAGATTCTATAGGTAAGTAGCAGCTCACTAATAGTTCCAGAAATGCAGAAAATTGTTGCTTTCTTATTTTACAAACTCAGTTTTCTTGTAGCTCACCTTGGTGTATTCGTGTTGATAGGATGTGAGTCCAAAACTCTGATGCTTGTTCATATCCATCCAAATGAGGATGATTTGTGTGAGACCATCTGTACCTTGGGTTTTGCAACAAGAGTCAGAAGTATTCGCCTAGAAAATGTAGAACCATAAGTAAGCATTTGTAGTGACGCTAGCTTGTATATAGTCAAGAAAAAAAGAGACCAGCTAAACATTAAAGTAGATAAGAAGCCAATGTCAGGCTGCTTTGATTTTCAAAGACAAGTGATAATAACAAGATGAGAGTATGTTGAACTTGCAAAAAATGTTCGATGTCCCAGAAAATGTAATAACAATTTGTGTCCATGTCTCCATGAACACAGATGAGTAAAGAATGTGGTTCCACACAATCTTTGCTGCAAAAATCTAATGTTTTGATCTTGTACATACAAGAAGTAAAAGCAAGAAAGGAACATTTGTTAATGGAATTAGAACAGGAGATCAGTGATCTAGGACAAGAATGTGAAGGTATTATTAGAAAGATTAAGAAGCTCAAGAAAACAATTGAGCATTTTAAAGGGCCTCAGCCATCTGTTGAAACAAATTTCGACATTTCACATCCATCCAGTGAAGAGCTGAAAATTGACATGTCAAAGAATATAAGGAATTCAAAGAATCAGAGAGATGTTTCTTCCAGGTTACCAAGGTTTATGAAGCCAACAGCGTCTAGCCAGCATAGGATAGGCTTAAATAAACACATACCTGTTAGTAACAAGACAAAACCACCAGTGCCACCAAAGAGAAGGCCTTCCTCAGTTTATGCTGAGTCTGTAAGGCTGCCAGTAAATGCTGTGACTTGGCAGTCAGAACGCAGTTCAGAATGCAGTATCTCCATGACAAGTGACATGAATTGGGCTAAAGTTCAGTTCTGAATGCGTACGCCGTATGGGAAAAAAATAGATCCCAGAATGACTGTGTCAAGAGTTAAAGTTCAGTTGTCACAGGTGAAGCTCTCTGTTGTGGCTAGTTCTTTCTTCTTCTCCTTACCAGTTGTGGCTAGTTCTTTCTTCTTCTCCTTACTAAAAATCTTTGCAACTTTCTACATAAAAAACTAAAAGTTACTGTACTTCACTGTGTATGATCAGTAAGGCACACAATGTAAGGGATCTAAAGGAATCACAACTAAGCATCACATTATGAGTCCAACAGCAGAGAACTGATCCAGATTGGCAAGAACAGCACATTTTAGAAAAAATGGAGATAGGAATAGCATCTGTTTTCTGTTTTGATTGAGAATAAGTAGCATCTGGTTTCAGTTTCTGCAATTATCGGACTGCTACATTTTCACCATGCAAAGAGGTACCACATAATGTAAACTCAGATTAGGATCGTCTCCAAATCAACATGCTAAACAACACAAAGTATCAAATAACAGGAGATATGATATGAAAAAAAGTTCTATCTATTATCGGGTATCACCAGTGATGGATCCAGGAAAAATATAAGGGGGGGCTAAACAAAGAACGCTATATCACTTTAAATCTACTGTATGTCCCATAGAAGACAAATACAGTAGTTTAGAGTAGTTTTATATTGAAACATCGATGAGAAGTATGAAAACTAAAATATATCATGAAAAAAATGATGCAATTTATCTGCACCCAAAGCCTCAAATCAATAGATGGCATGTGGCGATGACGCCCATTGCAATCTATCCAAAAGACACAATAAAATGGTCCCTCAAATATGAAATTTAAAAACCTGAAATTTGAAGAGAATGGTGTATACCACTAATCTTTTAGGCACTAATATATGCCTGATCAAGCAATGCCATCACAATTGATGGTCCTCTGCACAGGCTATCGCAAGACACCAACCATGATAAAAATCGTAGATGGCAACCCTTATCAGTTATCACAACAAACCACTGAGTGAATCCCTTCATTCTGGAATTGCAGGAAGCAAAGTGGGGCAGTACGATTCTGAATAATCTTAGTTGACATAACAAGCAAGACTGAATTCCCTTAAGTTAACGTAATAATAATACTATGACTAACATTTGTCAGTCTCAACTACTCAAGACAGTCAGACACATCACATGACACTATGCTTTTATAAGCACGCATCAGGGTATTGCAAAGAAGCAAAGCAACAGGGTATTGCAATTCCTATTTCTGTGTTGTGTCACAAATAGAAAAGGTACGGAATTGAATAATTAGAAAAATGATTTCTTAATACCTGCAGGTCGCAGCTACTAATTTGTATGCCTAGCCTGATGCCGTCTTGCTCTGGTAGTGGCAGATCGTAACCCCAGTGCCCAATCTTCAGTATATACTAATGAGCCTATTCCATCAAATTAGCCCTAAATTAGTTTTTAAAGGAAAAAATAGGAACCTAAATTTGTTTTATTCAGCATTTCAACTGTCAATAACTCAATCTTGCACTCTATTTTCACAGGTCACAGATTTCAGCTGAAATTCATGCCTCATCTTCTAACTAGACATCATCTATCATCTATTGTCCAACCAGAGAAGCCAAGCAGGGGCATTGCAACCATAGGGAGAATAATGCATTGACCAGGAAAAAAAGTAAAAAGAAGACCTGGCGAGGGTAGGGATGAGGCGACAGAAGGCGAGTTTGGTCGGTGGCCTGACCTTGCCGGGTTCCTGCAGGGCTGCAGCAGCTCCTCACCAATCGGCTGGAGGGAGCTGTGGTGTCCTGGCAGCGGAGAGGCCGAACTAGGCGAGGGCAGGTTGGGGCTGCGGAGCGGGGGTGCTGCTGCTGCTCGTAGGGCGCCAGAGCGAGCGCGCTATGCTAGGCTCCCTTGCCACGGTGACGGCGTCATCTTTCGGCAGGGAAGCGGGACAAGGAGGAGTCGCCTGCTGTGCCCGCCGCGGCGATACGCGGCCGGATGGCCTTGCTGGGCGGGGCTGGCTTGGAGGCGAATAGCGGTGGCATGGACGAATGCATGGGGAGGGGGAGGGAACGTGGGAGAGGCGGCGGTGGCTTGGGTGCACGCATGGGGAAGGGAGGGAGCGTGATTGGAAGGGAGGGGAGGGAGCGGGCGGCGGGGGACGCAGTATCGCACAGACGGAAAGGAGAAGCGACCCCAAAAAAAAGTCACACCAAAAAATTGTCTTACTTTTATTCTTTTTAGTTGTATATGTAGGAGATCAAGGGCCTGAGTCAGGTCAGGTTTGAGTCGGGTAGAAAAAAAATAATTGGATCAAAATCTTAGTACGAGTCTAACGTGACACACTAGTGGCGATGAGTCAATTTTTTTTTATTGCACTTTGGGCCAGTGTTTTTTGGTTGGGTCGGGCCATAGATAAAAAAAACATAGCCCAAATCTGATCCAGCACACCAACGTATCAGATCGGTTCAGGTTTTTTGCGAACGGAACATAATCGGTTAGGTTGATATGTTCCGCTGAAAAAAGAAAATCGCATGAGGCAGCTCTACATTTACAACGCATCATAATTGTTTAACACACTAGCAAAATATGCTGGTGTGTGTTTCTAACAACTATTTCAATTACAATAGAAATATTAATTGAATTCTTATATGTCAAATACAATAGGACATTAATTGATTCTTGTATGTCAACTCATATATATCATCAATATTTTTTTAATAAAAAAATAGGATAATGAATTATTTATTGGATCTATAAAACATTAAAGAAATTTAAAAAGTATATGTGTCAGTGCGAAAAGTGACCAGCAAGTAAATATTTGTAGTTTTGCCATGCGTTATGATCGGATGTGGCCTACCACTCAATGACACAGGGTTTATAGTGGTTCAGGCAACGTGCCCTATGTCTAGTTCTAGTCGGTCAGTGACTTTATTTCTGAGCCCAAGTGCTCGAAGCTTGCTGTGGGGTTACAAACGAGTTGAAATAAGAAGGGGGGTGTTAAAGGTCCGATCGGGCTCTGGACCGAAGGGCCAAGAGTGATGGGAGCTCCTACGTGCGCTAAGTGTTAGAATGTATGCTCTGTGTAGCTTTAGAGTTCTACAGCCGTGGAGCTGTTCGAGTGCTCAGAATATCTAAAGCTTAGTAGAGAGAGAGAGAGTCGAAATGACCATCCTCTGTTGGGAGATAGCGCATCCCCTTTTATAGGTGAAGGGGATGGCCTTACAAGGGAGAGAGAGAGAGTGTGTGTGTGCGCTCATGTTTTACTAAGTCTTGTTACCCACGCTGTCAGGTATAAGACGGTCGTCGGCGCCCACAATACTGTTTATGTCAGATACGTGTGGCGGGCTTTATCGTGTTCGTCTGGTATGACAAATGATAGCGCCCACAACACTGTAAGACAAATACCGGTGCCCACAACACTATTCGGGTTCAGACATGCCTGGATGGTTGCAAAGCACCCTTCTGGCATGGCCTGGCAGTAGTGTCCTACAGGTGTGTAGGGTACGGTCCTCGGTATTACGGTTGACTTGAACGCCTTGCCTTATCTGCTCTGCCTGATTCTTGGGTCCTCACCGAGACGGAGTCCCCGGTCGGTCGTTCCCAGTTGGCTCTGACCGCGCCAGTCGAAGAAGAGCTGTAAGCAGAGGTTCGGTGTATTATCGGTCAGAAAAGCGGGTCGGAGTCAAAAGCGAGTGTTGTCCCCTCCTTGGCCAGGACTTCCGGTCGGAGGCTGGATCGCTCTTCCGGCCTATCGTTAGGTATCTGGGCCAGCCCAGGAGTCGCGCGTTTGTTGTAATGCCGTCTGCTGGGCTGAGCTTTTGTTGGGAAATGGGCCCATCGGAGACCCTGGGTTTATGAACCCGATAGGTGCCCCTAAGCCCTTTTGGGACTTCTATGAAGTCATGAAGGGGTTGTTCATACTCGTTGTATGAGAGCAACGGATGGGTGTAAGATCATGAGTCGCTATCGGGCGCGACGGAGCGCGGACCCATGCGTCGGGCGTGGCTGAGGGGTCGGGCACGACAGAGCATGGACCCAGGCCTCGGATCGACGAACCAGCATGCTGATCAGCAGTCGTACAGGGTGTAGGCAGCATAGCGACCATGCGTCCGTCACTGTGGGTCAATGTGAGTCCCCTGGAACGTCATGTCGAGGAGACGGGTCATGCTAAGACGCGACCACTACCTGTACGATGCCAAAAGTTTGACCTGGGTTGTACTTTTTGGCCCGTAGTGGTTGGCGGCGGCACGTGCTTCTGTTAGGGACCATATCCGAGGGATCGGGCAAAGCGGGGCTAGCTCTTAGACGTCAAGCGAGGCGGAGCCAGCCCCCAAATGTCGGCTAAGGCAGAGCCTACCCTCGGGGGGCCAACCGAAGCAGAGCCAGCCCTCGGGGGTCGGATGATGCGGAGCCAACCTTCAGGAGTCAGCCGAGGCAGGGCCAACCCTCAGGGGTCGAACAAGGCGGAACCCAGCAAGGGGCGTGACCTTGGTGGTCCTAGAGATAACCTAGGGGATTTTTTGACTTGCCAGCGGGTGCGCGCGAGCGCACCCGATGGTTGTATCCCCCGAGCCCCCGGGCGATTCGGGTAGAATCGCCTGGGGATTTTTCGACTTATCATTGGGTGCGGCCGGGGGGTCGGGCGTGACGGAGCATGGACCCAAGTGCCGGGCATGGCCGAGGGGTTGGTCTAGTTTTGTGTGTTACCCCATCAGCAGTTTCCGTAACCGGAGGGGCTGAGCTAACGTCACTTGCCTCGACGGCTCGAGTGATGTGCTCGGTGAGCTCTCTAACGGTTATGTCCGAGTGGAATCTTGGTCCGTCGTTCGTAACAGGGTCAGCATAGCCCTCATGCGTCATTCCACTGCTCCTTAACCTGCCTCCCAATAGATGCCTGAGTCATTCCAGAGACCGACTCAGGTGGCCCACTGGCCTCCCTTCAATGAAGATTCTGTGGGCATGACTCGAGGTTAGGATCGAATGAGAAGGTCGAGATGACCATGTCTGCTTCTGAGC